CGGAGCCATCACTCTGTTGACCGTCCACGTAAGTCACTGATTTCACTACTTTCAAATTTCCCTATATAGTTATCTATCGTGGACGTAACACGAGTGTAGTATTACATTATTTTTCACATTTAAACCACATCGCTTGATGCTTAAAAATTTTCATGGAAACTTACACAATTTACATGTAAAGAAGAACATATACGAGCAAACTGAAAGTTCACGTAAAATATTTCACGTTTTGAGAATTCACCTTTCATGGTTAAAATGTAATTGCAGTATACACAATGTAATATATAACACATTAATAAGCATTATACAACTTAAATTTATAGTTATAATATAATATAATAATACAATATGGGTAAATTTAATAAATGAGATGAACGTTAACCGTGAAAGGTGAATTCTCAAAACGTGAAATATTTCACGTGAATTTTTAGTTTGCTCCTATATGTTCTTCTTTACATATAAATTGTGTAAGTTTTTATGAAAATTTTTAAGCATCAAGCGATGTGGTTTAAATGTGAAAAATAATGTAATACTACTGTTACGTCCACGATAGATAACTATATAGGGAAATTTGAAAGTAGTGAAATCAGTGACTTAGGGCTATCGCACACAATTGACATGAAACTGCATATGCATAGCATAAGATCGTATGGGCATCGAATATTAAGCATCGAACACCAATATGGCGACTTAATACTGTCAATTAGTTATGTCAATTTGTGTGCGATAGCCCTTATGCGTACCAACACTGACCGTGATCAATCGGGACGCTCCCCTTCCAAAAGCCTGTATATCATTCTGAGAGAGAGAATACTACTCTGTAGTACATAACCTTGTTTAACTGTGATATGTTAGGTTTGTTCTTATTGTATATGTTTAAACTTACATGTTGAATTGAAAAGTGTGTTTGTAGTAAAACTCGCGTGCAAAAGTTTAATCTATAAACCACCCAGGAAAAAAATGATTATATATAATTATATAAAATTATATATGATTATAATAAGTTATGTGTATATGAATTTTGTACTCATATATAGTCACATATATATAATCATATATGTCCACACAGAAAAAAACAATATTAAATAAAAAAGGGAAGAAATAGTTTCAATCGATGAAACGTTCAATTTAACGTCAACATCAGCACTGCCAGAAGCATAAATATTTTCTTGTATTTATATAATAGTATGCTTGTATTTGTATATTTTTTGTTATAGTCATATATATGGTCTGTTCTTTTCAGCTGCACTGCTGAACTGGTGTATTAAGTTAGAATAAGAAAAAATATACTTGTCTCACTTATTGCACTAGTTCAGCAGTGCAGCTGAAAAAAACAGACCAATAATTATACATAATTATATATGATTATATCAAGTAAAATTCATGTATGATTTTTTTTCCGGATACACAGATATTGTATAATTTTTTTAAAGTGTCATCTTAAACAACGTCATCCTTATTACATTGCTGGATGAGCCTTATTACATTGCTGTGTAACTTTTTAAATCTTTATTGTTTGTTAAAAGGTACTGGATAAGCATATTTTTAACAAAATTTGTGAAACATGTAAATCTTAATTCAAAATATCTGCTACGATATATTTTAACAATTTTAGAGTACCAAACAGTATTACTTAAATAATACAAAATGCTATTTATCTCAAGCAATTATTTTAAACAAATTTAAGTTTAATATCTTTAGGATTGCATTATCAAGTTGGACTTGTGTAAAATGGCTGTGAAAGACAAACAAACAGAAATTTCATCATTTGATGAGATAGAATGGAATGTGGAAAATGAAATTCAACTTTTTTTTGCTATGAATGGACATAAACCAGTTGGTAAGTTATGTGAAACAATGTAATAGGTTGATATATTTACTAACAATATTTTATAAACATTCACTCTGTATCCTATAATAATTTAATGAACTGGTTTTAGGTATCAATAAGTATTTCCACATGTTATGCATATGGGAGAAATTTCGTATTGCAATCCGTAAAGATATATCATTAAAAATAATTTGGGATCATTTAGAGTCTATGTATGATCTCATGGCTTTAGTAAGTGACATCATAAAGAAGAGATGTATTTTTATCCACAAACTCTCTGATTTAATGAAGTTACATAATTACTAGTAAAATTTTAAAAATATTTTAAAAACAAAGATATATATGTTGTACATTTTATATATATATATATAAATTGTTTTGATAGGATGACATGGAAGATTTACCTTTTCCTAGCCAAGAGATAGATTTCTCTCTGCCAGAGGTGGAATTTGTTGGAAAGCCTAGGAAGAAGGAAGAATTAGAGATAAAGCTAAAAGATTTAAGAGATAAATATAAAGAAATTAAAAAAGAGAAAGATATTAAAGAAAGTTCTAAGAAAGACAATATGTCACGTGACATTAAAGGAAGCAAGGACATAGACAAAAAGAAGGAAGAAATAAAGAAATACACAAAGGACATGGAAGTAAAGAAAGATAAATTTAGAGATATAAAAGATACAAGGAAAGAACACAAATCTTCAAAAAGTCGTTCAAAGAGCAAAGATGATATAGAAGAAAGTGGTACATTAATATACTTTTACCTCGTTTATATATTTAATAAACTCGTACTAAATTGTGAATTGTATCCATGTTTCTTTTTAGTATCAAACATAAGAAAAGAGCGCAAGGATTCAGAGTCTGGCCGTGAACTTTTAAAGAGGATCCCCAAAAGGCCAACTAGACAAAGTATGGAAAGTTCTTCTAAAGCTTCTTCTAGTCCTCGTGATACACCACCACCAAAACGAAGAAGAATATAGCAAGGAAACAATCTTGCATTCACGTTGGAATGAATGTATTTTATATAATTTAGATTGACATCTATGTGATTTGAAAAAATACTAAAAAAAGCTTATCAGATCACATAATGGATATAGCTATATTGTTTCCTTTTAAATATTTTTCTTTGAAGAACCATATATTCAATATAAAATATTCAATATAAAATATTTGATATAAAAATAATAAATAAAATAATAAATAAGAAATAAATATTTCCACGGTTGTTTAAAATTAAAATTATTTGACTTCAGGCATTACAGCTGTATAGTAGCTAAGTATCTCACTTCCTTATTTTAAAGTCAAAATGCATATTTTGCCATTGTAGAACTCAAAATAACAATAATTAATATATTTTAGTATTCATATATTTTGAATCCTATATGAGGTAAAATCTGTTTAGATTGAATTAAACTTAGAAAATTAAATTAGAAAATGTTTGTTCATTCTATGTTAATCTATTCTTTTGTTATAAGGAAATTTAATATCACAAGATTGGTGGTTACTAGCCAAAATTTATTGAGGTAGCATTTTGATGTAACAGGAATGTTTCAAAACTGTAGTTTTATTCCATTATTTCTTCTCAAGAAACAGTGTTATATGTGGATATTGATGAACATGCCAAGAAATCTCCAACTTCGATCCGAGAAGCACGTGGGTCGAGATGTGCGTCATCCACGATTGATGTTTTTTATATAGTTCTTGGTACTTAGTCAATTCCTGGGAAACAAGATTCGGGCTGGCCAGTAACGATTTCTTCAACGTCGATCAAGATGTCCCAGTTATCGGAGTCTTCTTGCCTCACGCTCAGATTCGAGCAAGGTTAGGAGATCACCCTCGCGTACTGGACCCTTTACATTCCTGATAATTTGCCGGTTTTGCTCGCCGAGGAACTCCACTTTCACTTGTGTACATTGTCCCTGTGATCCCGTACGACCCAAGACTTTGATAACACGTGCCAAAACTACTGGTTTATCCATAATTTACGCTTTACACGTGGTCTCGAGAACAGAAGACAAATCTACCTTTAGATGGGCAGAAAGAAAGAGATCACGCTTCTTTCTCTTTGGTTATATAGATATCGTTTGTTCGAGCGTTTCCTCTCTCAATAGGTGCGTTCAGCGGAAAAAGCGCTCAATAAGCAATTAGCGATTATTGGTTCTTACTGTTAGATCCCTAAATCTAGACCAATTACATTAACGAATTGCTCAACTGTTGAGTTCGCTGAACGCACCCAATGGCTGCGTTCAGCAGAGAAAGCTGCTTGCAACTGTTGTAAACTTCGTGAATCTGATTGGTATATGCTTTTGGATTTAACCAAAATTAAGAGCATACTCCAATCAGATTCACGAATTTTACAACAGTGCAAAGCAGCTTTCTCTGCTGAACGCAGCCAATCTTTCTCTCTCTCTTTCTCTCATTGGTTTCAGGAAGTCGATTATGACCTGGTTTACATCGGGAGCGTCCCGATTGACCATGGTACGATTGGACACAACCGACCGATGAAAAGAATTATCTAGTGAATTACTAAGTCGAACCAATCATTACAATCTGTGTCTAATCGTATCGTGGTCAATCGGGTCCCACCCCGCTGAGATTAGGCATTTGAATAACAGGTCGTCTAAAGATGGATGACCGTGTGACACTGGAGGCCGTGTTCCGTTTTTACTGGCAGTGCTGTCTAAATGACATCATGGCAGTATGCTGCTACAGCCATTCCGAAATTGATTTAATGCTGCTAGCACAATTGTGACGTCGTATTTCGGAACAACTTGCAGTGCACTGCAAACAGCAGCTAACCTCTGTTTGTATCCACGATATCCCGCTGTGACTTAAACAATATAATATAAAAATGAATAAAAATGCGAAAATATTATTTGCTTCACAATCATAGAAGCAGTATGTGAAAGACAGTGATGACAGTGATGATAGTTCCGACGAAAATGAATTATTAAAATTAATATATCCTGCTGCAAAAATTATACGACCGCGTATAAAAAATTATTGTTCATGTATATTGTTCATGTTACTGTTCATGAATATTCTAATACTGAATTTAAAAGTCACTTCAGATAATGTAAATATTAATATTATATTTTGTTTGCTTTTTAATCTTAGGATATTGTAATGCTTTTATATTTTTTATACTTCTGCAAACTTATAATAGTGAAAGAGAGAATATTTTTTTTTAAAACAATTATTTTTTAATTACAAGATGTCGCGTACAGCTTTTTATTTGTTATTAAACTTAATTTAACCGGAATTGGAAAAAAATCTGAAAGATTTGGTCGGAAAACTATTGCTGCAGAAGGTCAATTGTTGATACCCAGCAAACACAACGTTACATGTAACATACATGTTAGTTATAATTTCCTCAACTCAACAATGTAACTGTTATATAACATACGTGTTATATAACAGTTATATTGAGTAGGAAATTATAACTAACATGTATGTTACATGTAACGTTGGGTGTTTACGTTAAATCGAGTACGAGTTATAGCATGTTCGATTGGCTCTGGATTAACACACTCGGGGTTATTCATCCTACGTTTATTGGTCGAACAAGTACTTATAAGCTTTATGATTGGCTAGTAGAGACTTATGACGTCATTAATCGCTCTCGGAGCGATTAACCCAGGGCCAGTCGAACACGCTATTTGTTACGTCCACGATAGATAACTATATAGGGAAATTTGAAAGTAGTGAAATCAGTGACTTACGTGGACGGTCAACAGAGTGATGGCTCCGCTTTTGGGTCACTCTGCTTTTCACCGAGTTTACCCTGGGTCTCGGGAGCCTGGCGAAACGATTGATGAATCTGGCGAAAAGTCAGCGGTGCTTGTTCTCCTGGCTCGGCCTCGGATGTTCCGATACCACGCGGGTTGATGCGGCCCGCGATTCAGAATTTGATTTCGCAACGTTTGAAATATGAAGGGTAGGCAAAAGTAATTGCAACACAGTCGGATTTTACGACTAAGTATAATATACTGAATAAGTACA